TATATCTATAAATATATTTTGGATATGGATACAGCTGCCAATACATGTGTACATACAATTACAGTTTTGAGTATTACAGACTGCCATAGTGGAAAGAAAATCTATTAAACAATCACGTTGCATCCTGCTCTACTGACTGCTCTGACAGGTGATTACAAATCGCAGAACACAAATCGACGAATGGAAAGAAGGAAGCAAGGCGGCGAGGAGGGTGTTCTTACCGTGTTTCTCAACGGAGATGAAGACCGAGAACTCGTTTCCGCGCGCTCGGACGCGAAGCTCGCCGGTGATAATCGGCGCAGTGTCTCATCTCAAGTTTTTCGCTCTCGAAACGATATTTCGGGATTTTATCCCCACCGCGTTATGCGGCATAACGCGGTGGCGTCCATAACGAGGCGCGCCGTCGCGCCTCTCCGTTTTCGTTTTCTTAAATTTCCTGGAATTCTTTCGCATTTCGCTTTTTCTGCTGGACCAGGGCATGTCATACAATTAGTGAGTTCTTTTAAATGGATTGTTTTAGAACTGTATTGTCTTACATGATATTTTCTGTCCACAACACACAGTAGGAAGGAAGGAACGTGAGTTATAGCTGCTCCGAGAGTACTTATGATTTTCTCCAAGAATAAAAGAAAGTTCTTTAACAAAATATACTGTTTCATCAAAAGAATAAAATGATATAAAATTACGCTTCCTGATTAATTCCATAATAAGTCGGAGATATATAAAAGTTCTATTTGTTAATATCAAATATATATTCTGTTCTGGATATAGTAGAAAATAAGACAGAGACAAAATGCCAGATTTAAGAGTTCTCGATTGAGAAGTTCCACCCACACGTGGCGAGTTCCACCTACGAGAGATCACGAGAGACTTGGGGAGACTTGCCCGTGACCGAGTCTATTATTGTTCGCTCCGACAAGGAAAAAATTGAAGATGACCCTTTTCTTTCGATTCCGTCCCACATAACCCACATTTCCTCCCGTAACCTCCATTCTATTTGCGGACTCGTGATCCGCATTCGCGTGCACGTGATGCACCGCACGTGACAGTAAGCCTGTTTCTTTTTGGCTGAAAGAAGTCCTCTTCAGCAGAAAAGAAGAGGAAGAAAGATGAACTAGTGCAAAAGTTCAGCCAAAAAGAACAGGTCTAGTATGCACGCTCGATCGGACAGGAAACTGTATTATTGATGTGATTAGTAATAGAACCATGATATTGTAAAAATTCTTTATTAAATTCCATTGATATTATCGACAAATGTTGATAGTTCCATTTTGTTGACTGTGCCATAGCAAGAGGGCGCCACAAATTCTAAATCCTCCCCCCCCAAATATACGGTAGTTTATAACCTCATGCATCATGGCTCTGTCCTCTGACGACTCTGACAGCAGATTTGACGTGTCGCATAACGGAGTGCCGAATGGAGAACAATAAATATTTGTTCGAAACGTTCAAGCTAATAATTGCTGCAGTGTAATTCAGTAGATCGTATTATAGTAGATCTATTGTTTATTCATGATTATTTCACTCCAAATGCAGCGAAGTATTCCACAACTTGTCAAGTAAATAATAACGAAACAAAATATGAGGAAAGGTACCCAAGATACCGTTTGCAAATTGAAAAATGCGACGATCTCGAAAACGAACGAAAAGAAAGAGAGTGGGACGTATGTATAATTATAATTTTATCAAAATTATATGGTTATATCGATTGTATATACTTTTCAGTACATCTCATATGTCACGATTCTGTTGCTTTTTGTTGATAAATTATTTTGTTCTTATTATAATATATAAAAATTATTAAAATACTGGAGATACAGATTTTTTTTTATTTTATCCTCGAAGTTTATCCAGAAGTATTCCTAAAAATTATGTTTTATATTTCTGTTCTTTTTTCTATAAAGAGAGTTCTTTACTAGTAATAATTATAGAATGTAATAATTATTGCAAAAAAAAAAATAGAAAATATTATTCTTTAATGAGATAAATTAACATGAAATATTGCAACATGATTGCAAGTTGGTTTTATGTTTATAGGGACTGGTGGCTTCTGTTTGGAGGTATAACTGTACTTACCTTAATCACTAGATTTTATAAAGTTACAGAACCTCAGCATGTATGGTAAGAGAAATTGAAGATTTTTATTAAAAAATATCTGTTATTCAAACTTTTTTTTTTTGAAAAGAAAGTTCTTAGAAATTTCTATTTTTCAGTTGGGACGAAACACATTTCGGCAAAATGGGCAGTTGGTACATAAATAGGACGTTTTTCTTTGACGTGCATCCACCTTTAGGAAAGGTAGGTTTTCCAAAGAAAATTCTATTCATACATTTTTTAGGCAAAAAATTCAACTATCACATGAAACTAAAAATATTTTATATTCTATTTTGAGATGCTCATTGCTTTGTCGGGATACATGACAGGCTATGATGGGACATTTGCTTTTGAAAAACCAGGAGATAAATTTGAAAATGTCAATTACATTGGCATGAGAATTGTAAGTTGAGCAAGCTTTTTTTCAATTAAAATAAAACAAGATATATTAAAGGATTTAGAAAACTTATCAAAGGCATTAAAACTGCAAAGATTTAATCAGAAACATTTCTGTCTTAGTTCTGTACAATTCTGGGTGCATCCACTGTCCCTCTATCATATCTTATTGTATGGGATCTTACCAAGTCAATTCGCGCATCTGCATTTGCTGCCTTTTTCATCTTATGTGGTAAATTACAACGTTCTTACGATATAGATAATCTTGAATTTTATCAAATTAATAAAATGATTCATTTTTCTTTGCAGACGTAGGATTGTTGACGTTGAATCAGTATATTCTGCTGGATCCCATATTGTTATGTTTTATGATGTGTGCGACATGGGGCATGGCGCGTGTAGCATCATTCCGAGACCGACCGTTCACAAGATCCTGGTGGTTGTGGTTATCATTCACCGGAGCTTCACTTGCATGCACAATCAGTGTAAAATTCGTCGGACTCTTTGTTATTCTGCTTGTGGGTCTTTACACCGTGTACGAGCTCTGGCGAGAATTGGGTGATCTGTCTAAGCCTATTGTAAGTCATTTTACGAGAATTCAATACCAAGACTTTTTTCTTGCAGAAATACAGCTTAATACTAGTCAATTTAATACTGACAAATAGTACTGAATTATTTATTTTGAATATTAAAAGCACTATTGCTCAGTGCTTCTAATATCAAAATAAATAATTAATTATTATATCTTCTAGTATTAAACTTGTGTAAGGTCGTAAATAGTGCGATGCTTTGCATTTTAATTGACATGATTAATGAGCTAGTTAATAAGTTTACTTTTAATTTAATAATTAGTATGAGATTGAGAGAATGGACGATTAAGTTTCCAAAGAACAATTTTGATTTTGCTTTTTGCAGTCTTATGTGGGGAAACATTTATTAGCAAGATGCTTTTGCCTCATCCTATTACCGGTTTTACTTTACATGCTATTTTTTTATATTCATCTTTCCGTTTTAAATAAAAGGTAAGAATTATTGCATCAACTTACAGAGCAAGTCTGTTACTACTAATGTTAAATATTTGTATAAACTTTATGTTAATTTTTCCTTATTTCTCAGAATGTCCTGTATAACCTAAGTTATACACTTATATGTGTTTCAAACTAATGTTTAATTTACAAATAAACACTGTTATGCTTAGTGGAAGTGGCGATGGCTTCTACAGTTCCGAGTTTCAATCGTTATTACGTGGGAATTCGCTGTATAACGCGACGATGCCACGACAATTGGCGTATGGTGCTACTATTACGTTAAAAAATCATCGCACAGGCGGTGGTTACTTGCATTCTCATTGGCATTTATATCCTGAAGGAGTCGGCGCTAGACAGCAACAGGTTGTTATATGTATATACGAGTACTTACATTTAGTACAAGGTAGTATAAAAAAAAAAGAATAAAATATAAACAAAATGAATTTATATAAAAGATATAGATTTATAAATTTGTCAGGTATTGAAATAAATGATATATATCTTATTTCATCCGGAAAAGATTGGAAAACGCATATGATAGAATAATGATTTGAGTGGGCGACACTAAGTGAAACTAAGTTCCTAGTATTTGACGTACGTATCTGATTACAGATCACGACCTATTCTCACAAAGACGATAACAATCTATGGCTAGTGAAGAAATTCGACACGGATGTGATACCATCAGAACCAGAATTAGTTAAACACGGCGACCTCGTGCGTTTGGAGCACATTACAACGAGACGGAATTTACATTCGCACAAGGAGATTGCACCAATATCAAAAAAACATTATCAAGTTACCGGATACGGAGAAGTAAGATGATTCCAACGTGGCATTGCTTTCGATTTTATTAAGCGTATTTCTTGTTTATCTTATAGAATGGTACGGGCGATGCTAACGACGTTTGGAAAATATTGATAACGAACGGAAGAGATGACGACGTGGTTGAGACAGTGACAAGTAAATTAAAGTTCGTGCATTATCTTCATCATTGTGTGTTAACATGTAGCGGCAAAACGTTACCGAAATGGTTGGTAGCGATAAACATTACATTAAATTTAAATCTTTCGCGTAGAACAAAATTTTCTATTGTATGATCAACTTTTAATTTATCTAGGGGGTACAGCCAGCAAGAGGTTTCTTGTAATCCTAATATGAGAGATAAAAATGGGTTATGGAACATTGAGGACAATCAATACGCCAAATGTAAGCGAGTGACATAAGCCATTGAATTTATCATTAATAATTAAAGCGATGTATAACACTGTTTTTTGTTAGTACCAAACGTCAGTTTCCGCGTGTACGCGCCAGGATTCCTTGATAGATTTCTGGAGTCACATGCCGTGATGTTGCAAGGCAATTCGGATCTAAAAGTGAAGGAAGGAGAGGTGTCTTCACGACCGTGGCAGTGGCCTATAAATTATAGAGTAAATTAATTTATACTATTATTTGCTAATACAATATCGTCGTTTTGAAGAGGCAAATCCTGAAAAAAACTCCTTTTTTTATAGGGGCAATTCTTTTCCGGGAACAATCAAAGGATATATCTACTCGGCAATCCTATCATTTGGTGGGGGAACATAGTCTTTCTTGTAATATTTATAGTTCTTTACGTCCACGCTTCCGTGCGTGAGCAACGGGGCTGTATCGATGATGCTATCATGCTCAAACAGCGGAGTAAAATAACGCATGCTGGCAAGTGGCTTTTCCTTGGGTGGATCTTGCATTATGCACCTTTTTGGGCGATGACCAGGGTACTGTACTTTCACCATTATTTCCCGGCGTTACTGTACAGCTCCATGCTGACCGGGATTACATTGAATCATGTCATTGAGAGTTTCCTGCTGCTGTTACCCGGCAAAGTGGGAAATACGTTTTATCATGTTATGTTAGGAATTGTAATCTCCGGTACTGTTTACAGGTAAAGATTGCCTTTCATTCAATTCTAATCTCACAATGAAATAATTTGTAATACATATTTTTAAAAATTTCTAAAAAGAGCTTTTTCGGATTTTTATCAAGAAACGATATCGAGAGATTAAGAGTTGATCAAATTTTAATTTAAATTACAGCTTTTATCTGTTCACGCCGTTGGCTTATGGGATGGACGGTCCATCTGCCATGGATCCCGACAGCTCGATGCATTCTTTAAGATGGATGGAATCTTGGGAATTTTAAAATCTGACTTATAATCAACGCAAAGTATTTTATACATATACTTGTTTCACTGTGCAATTGACAGAGTATATTTTATACTATTTTATACTGTATGTGTACACACAACTAACATTGTGTGTATATAAGAATATTAACTTAAATCATTAACAATGACTGAAATATTGGAAATGCTCATCTTATTTATATTATTTATATTTTCTACAAATTATATGTAGTTTTTACAATGTTTTATATTTTTTACAATTCGTTCGTACAATATTAAAATAGTTTGATGGTAAAACGTTGAGTATTTCACTCGTATCATAGTCATTCCGTCGAAAATGGGTTTCTTTGCAATTTCTTCCAAGAATATATTTGCGAAGAACAATACGACATATCCCTCTAAGATAAAACTATACTCTATGTATTTGTTTTTTGATATTACAACTGGATCCATTGTCCTGTGATGTTTTGTACGTGCTCAGCATGCTCGTAGCGATAACATCACTCTGCCGCAATATATCATCCATTTATATCGTAATATATTGCAACGATAATATACAGAATATACAGGCACATTTGCTGCGAGATAAGCTTCTACCATGCCCACTTTCGGTCACATATTGACCATTGTTTGCCATGAATATACTACATGCGCTATCTCCAACTGTCTCTGTGAAATTCTGTTTTAATATCTAATTATGTCAGTAGATTAACTTTAATTTTAGTTTACTTATTTTTTATTTCTTTCTACTTCTTAGATTAATTAATTAAATCGAAATTATTATAAATTTACATTGAAATGGACATAAGACGATCATCGTAATTCGCCAAAATCTAGCCGGATGTCAGTCGTTAAGTGATCACATAAAATTATAGAATTATCGTGGAGATATGCGGGCCAATAGAAGTGACCATATACACATTGAAATGACACATCACATTGGAGAGAAGGCGTATGTGCGTATACACTTATACATTTTTATCGATGACGAAAGCGCGTGGGTAGCCGATAGGCAATGCTGTGTTTTTTACTTCAGTAAAATGTAAACTTTCACTGAAGAAAGATAGTTTCAAGATTAAGAGAATTTATATGGATGAAAAGCTCGAGTGCTGGAACGAGTATAATTCGAAAGCTTAGTATTAGAAAAAAATCCACAAAAGTGCATCGTAAGGTTGAAAACTTCGCGATGAGTAGCTTCGAACTTGAAGACTTCTCCTTCGATAATTCTTCCTGTGCAGGACTATATTCAGAAATCTCGGGAACACTCAGGTATCACTTTATTTTTGTTTAACATTCGGCGAACAACCAGAATAAAATAATGTATAATACTTTGAATTTTTGACTTCCCAGGTTTAAGCTGGCCGCGCGCGCCAAAAGGCTTGCTTCGTCAAATTTAAAGGCTCCGCGCTTAAAAGCTGTACCGCACGAGCTTATCGCGCGCGCGCGCGAGCTTTTGCTACCACTATTAAAGAGTTAACGCAGGCGTATCGCATCGCCCTTTGCGGTATCGCCGTCGTCACCGCCTCCACCACCTCCGATGACGGCGATATCGAGGGACAGGGCGAGACGCGCTCTCGGATACTCGGTCAGTGCGCGCTTCCCCGCGCCGGCGGCCCGTCGCAAGACAGTCGTCCGGACGTGGTCGGTGTCCAGCGTCGCGGTGGATCAGCGGATGCTGCAATCAGCGGCGCGTCGGCGGCCGCTCGTGCCCGACATATTGCGGGCTTGCGGAAATAGGTAGGGATAACAAAATCGCTCGCGAAATTATCAGTGACTTCGCCGCGCTGAGAGATACGATTTGCTCCGTTTAAATAGAGCGATTGCGATGCGCTCGTGCGTAAGCACTTGTTGCTGGAATCGCGTCACGGCTGGACCACATCCAGGTGAAGAGCTTTCACTGTCAGACACGGTGCTCCTCTCCTCGCGAACCTCGTGAGCGTCGCGACGACAACTTGCGCAAGGCGTCGCGTCGACGCACCGAGAGCGTATCGTGCATGAGGCGAGTGAAGCGAAAAAAAAAATACGATTATCTTGAACATTGTGTATATAATGCGCACAATTGCTGTTGCTAGGATATTATAAAAGAAATTGTGCCTATAATATTCTTGCGTCAGCAAACGCGGAGAGAACGCGTTTGTATAAATTTTTTTTAATAAATTTAAATACGCTTCGTGAAAAGGTAAGTTTGTAGATTTAATCTTATTCAACCACTTGCGCTATATTCTAATCGCCAGATTCGATCTTGTTTTAACGATCATAGGTTAGAACACATAAAATACATTTGAAACGAAATAATATTGATTATTTTATTGTAAAACAAAGATCAATATGAAGAAAGAACTCTTTAATAAGTTTTTGTTTCATAGTTTTGAATAATATTAAGAATTAAATTTTGTAGAGAGGAAAATTCCGTCAGTTTTTTAAATGCATTTTCTTTGAATAATCAATTATTCTAAATTTGAGATTTAATCTCGTTTATTTTACGTTCACTTTTACGCTTAATTATTGATTAAAGTATAACAAGAAATATATATACGTATATATTTCTTATTATACTTATACTACTATACTTCTTATACTACTATACGATCTTGCTAATAAAGTATAAATCTTTACTTCATAATTGTATGACTTTCATTTTATTTTATAATGAAAAATACATGCAGAAGATAGAAAAAGCTTAAAATTTTCAGAATTTTAATTTATCAAATTATCATCATTCAATAACATCTAAGATTATTTTTAACAGAGTTCAAAATTCTGTCAGTTTCTTCCAATTTTTTATTCGATTTCTCATATTATTTTAATTTCAGTTTTTTTTTTAATTTGAATTCTTGTATTATTTAAATTCTTCTCATCTTTAAACAGCTGTGATAATAGAATAACAATCGAACAATTCGTTTCAATCGCTATTCAAAAACGTTTGAAGATACTCGGTATGTATCTTTGATCTTTTAACATTGCTCTTTATGGAAGTATAATTATAGATTACTTATTGTTAGTTACGTCACCCCGAAACGACAATAAGTGAATATACGGATAGATAAGTGGAATATCGATAACCGATCTCGTTTTTATGATATCGAATATCAATTGCCGATGTTTTATTCAATAGCTTTGGCAGGTGGAGCCTGAATAGTTCGGATTAATTAATCCGTGATATGCACAGCTGTCATTTAGCGATTCTCAGTACGGCTCCGCAATTGTCGATTCATCGACATATCTTATCGATTATGAGTCACGTAATATGGTCGAAAGAAAAGTCTAGCTTTCAAAGGTTTATGCTTTTTAGCTGAATTTCTATGTTGGAAAAAAAGGAGAAAGATAAATCTGTTCATCTCTGAACATTACGTGCATTTTACGTTACATCAAAATTCAATTTGAGATTTTTATTTATATACACAGCTGATTTAAAAAACCTTTAAATATTTTGTTAATTTTTTACATTGCATGTATATAGCGGTAATTAAATTATTTTACACTATGTATAATTGCCGATTGTAAATAATTGTTAGCAATGAGCAACAAAAAGTTTTCTATTTCTCCTTGATTTTCTACGGAAATTTATCAACTCTGGATTTTTCGCGAATTTAAATTAAATCTGCAATTCTCGTAATCCCGCGACTTTAATTTTCCGCCACATAACTCATGGTAATTAAATCACAGGGTTTCCATGTTACATGGAAGGATTCACAATGCGGGATCTCAAGAATATAAAATAATCTCGGGAACAAAGGATTAAAAGAAATCGTTTGCGACGCTCAACATTAACGTCATTCACGCGTTTCTTCGATGATAAGCATGCGGACAGCTTGTTGCTTCTTGTACTGTCGACCGCAGGAAGTGTGAATTAACAATGGAATCTGACCTACTTGGCGGTGCATACCATATATAAATCTACTGCTCCTTCAATCTCTTAAATGAGTTATATAAAATTCATCCGTCAGATGTAAGAAGGCAGTTGGATCACTTCCGAACGCGAAGAAACGCCGTGAAATTCCATTTAAGTAATGGTTGAATGAATCTCGTGAAGATCACATGTCTTTTTCACAAAGATTTATTGAAATTATCGTGCGATGTGGAGCATCAAAAATACTCTTATTTATAAGCAGAAATGCAGGAAAATATTTTCTATCTATTGTATATAGTTATTGATTGAAAGCTCAACATCAAAAGGATGTAAATAATGGAAACGGAATTGTCATGAATCAGAGCTACCAAAGTCTTAAAATGGCTTAAAATATTGAATTAAATAATTAGGGAGAGATATTTATGTGATAATCAATAGATTTTTTAAAATTACGATTGCTTAATTAAATTAAATTAAAAATTTTTGCAAAAACTGATTGCTCATATTTTTTTATTTACGGTAATTAGAATTTTTGAAGTAATAATAAAAAAAAAGAATGAAAAAAATAATGAATAATTAATAAGCCAAAAGCTCACGCGAATATTGACGTGCAATGTCGATTTATTAAAAGGACACTTACATAATTAACAGATTAAGAATAGCAAACGTTTCGACCGAGAATTTTTTATTCTTCTTACTGTTGTTAAGAATAAAACAATTTAACATATAAAATAATTCTAATATTTTTCGTCACGAATTAAAATAATTATATATAGTCAATCTGTTAAAAAAAACATGTTAAAACATTTTTTTTATTAGTGCAACAAAATAGATATCAACACAAGTCCATTGGACGGTTACAAATAGTGATCAGTTGACCACTGCAAACATCAGCCTGTTAATAATAATCTGTGGTACGATTTTAACGCGATTATTAATAAAACTATGTGTTTGAAATAAAAACAAAGAGAACGACCAAAAATTTGGTTAAATCGTTTACTATTCTTAGTTTATTAATTATGTAAATGTTCTTTTAATAAATGGGCTCTTTTTGGTTTATTAATTATTTCATTATTAAATTGATTCTTAGAGTCAATGTACACATTTTTCAAGAAAATAAATTTTATTTTTCTCCTGAAAAATTTAAAAAATGGCACAACATTTTGCCGTGGTATGTCTTATGTAAAATGAGACTTTCGCCGAAAAACTTTCGGATTCTTATTATTGAAAGAATAAGTAAATTTTACTTGGAATCCTTTTGGAATCCTTTATAGCTAACAACAATTGCCACAATTGTATAGTAAAACTAATGTTAGAATAAAAACTGAACAAGGAGAGTCTGCCTAGTTTGCAATTAAAGATAGTTTCTATAAGTAATTTTCAAATTTTCCTGGTTCTCGCCGTTTATCGATTGTGAAATGAAATTATTGCGCGTTCACGAAATGTACGGTACCTATCGATTATTCGATACAAATAAGAATTCGACAACATTTCTTTTTTATACAAAGCATGTTTTACACGAAGATTAAATGCGAAAAAATTCACCTAACTCTACTAACATTTTTCTGTACAACGTTAATTCAATTGTAAAAAAAATACATAAACATACATAATTATGATTTAAAAATTTTAAAATATATTTATTAAATTATATTATTAAATTATAGTTATTAATTATATTTATTAAATTAAATCTATTAAATTATATTATTAAATTATATTATTAAATTATAATTATTACATAAATTTATTAAATTATATATTTATTAAATTAAACTTATTAAATTATATATAGCAACTTATATATTATGATTATTAATTAAATCTATTAAATTATATCTATTAAATTATATTTTTAGTAATTATGTACTAATTATTATGTAAGCTATCGCAATTAAGGTAGTTTTTAACAAATTAAAGACAAGAATGTGAAATAGGAGTTGTCGCGGTAATTGATGCGCAAATAACAATAAAATATACTTTAATAATGTCACATTGAGTTAATTCTATCGAAGATGGTTTTTGTTTTAAATCGCACAAAAAAGGAGATGAGAAAATTTGTCCTTTAACCGTGCAATGCATTTTGCATTTCTTCTCTCTCGCAGCAACTTTTCAAACCGGACGGACACCTTCCTTATGTAGCAAGACATCGGAATATGCGAGAAAGCGCTTTAGCCGTGCTACTGGCATGGACACTTGCAGCCCAGCAGGGGCTATGCGGCAAGTTGGAGAAGATCGCCCAACAACCAAGCAATGTCTTGGTAGATTATTACGCCTATCGTCATATCTCGATCATCCACTTCAATGTGCCCGAACGTACCGTCGCGGTTGCCTTCAAGTATGTATTTAACCGAGAAAGAAACGATAGGATCTTTTTCGAAATTAAGGTAGCGATTATGCAATTTTTTCCTTATAGCGGAAACGTAAAATGTAAAAATTTTTATTATTGAAGGTAATAAAGAAATTTTTCATTTTTCTTAGGAAAAAAACTTACCCTTCTTGTATTTAACGCGTGCAATTCGAGGATGTATCACACGCAGTTGAGATTTTGCTGAAGTATCTACAGATTTAGATAGATGTAGATCTAAATAATTTTGTTGGACCAAAATTATTATGTAGAATATTCCAACTGGTTACTATAGAATGTCAAAACTTTTTGCAATGTTGCTTGAGATTCCTACATAATTATTTTAATGGTCCAAGTAAATTATTTTCAGGTCTATATCTACACGGAAAGAATTTTCTCTTAAAATTTATCCTGAAAATATGGTAGTAGTAGAAAATATAGTATTAAACTCTAAGAAAAAATTCTCTCCGTGTGTGTGTGTGTGTGTGTGTGTGTGTGTGTGTGTGTGTGTGTGTGTGTGTGATAGGAAAATTTTTAGATGCTTTAGTAAATTCTTCTTTCCGTGCAGCAGCAGAGAATTTTGTTTTTTCTTACTATTTTTCTACAAATGTTATTTATCCTCATTAGATCTCTTTAATTTTGGAATGGAAGCAACCTTAACAATTTATATCTCTAAGTTGTTTTCAAACATATATTCTAATATATATCTTACACACATATATATTTTAATGAGATCATTTAATGTATCTTATACATTTTATGTATCTTATGTATCTTATTCCCTTGACTTATTTTTCGTTGAAATAAAATATTGTTATTTATGTTTTCTTAAGTATCTCTTACGAAGATATATATTCTGTCTCGCTTCAGATTCACAGCAAAAGAAGAAAAAACTGGCGGGATAGGTAGATGCACACCGCTCAACATTTCGTTGTATCTAAAATCCGCCAGTTTGCCATTTGTTTGTCCCGATGGATCGAAGGTGGCTGCAAAGCTGATAGAGAAGAAGAAACGTCGGCGACAGTACAGTTTAGAGATGCAGAGTGACGGCGAGCAATATATAATCAAGATAGAGGCTCCGCCGGCGGGCGACTGGTACGCGATCGCTTTTCGATCCTGGACCGATCCTGAAGACGGAAAGATCAAACAGCAAGGTAGAGAAAAACGCAATTTATTACATTTTCTTTAATAAATAAAAAATTAAGAGAATAAAAAAAAATTATATTATCTATTGGGCGCTAATTGCATAGTCTTTTATTTTAATAAACATTTGTGTTTTGTCCGATAATTTTTTAATAACAATAATATTTTTGAAATAGTAGGAATATTTCTTTAAAATATTTTCTTGAAAGCGATATCGTTTTTTAATATTTATAAGTAAAAGTGCCTCCTACTTTCAATTTAGGTTGTGGTTTAGTTTCACTTTAGTTTGCATTTTATTTTACACAAATTTCGTTCAAATTTAGGTCTTCTTAGACAACATTATTGCTGATACTTCACTTTTTTATTGTGCATCTATTTTCTCATTTTTCTTTTTTGCTGTATAATTTCTTTTCTTTTATATTATTGCACATAAATATATATAAAGTTACTATTTTCATTATTATTATTATTATTATTGCAAAACTTAAAGAGATGGAGCTGGATTTTACCAGCCTCTTTAAGATAACGAGAAACTGCTGTTCGCAGGTCTCAGTGCGTCCTGTGAGACCGTAATGGACGCTGAAATGTTCGTGGAGATGCCAGCTACGACGTCATTAGTAGATTCTGAGATTGAATATAAGGTGCAGCTGGACGAGACCTCCGACACAGCGATAGTACAATATTTTGTGCCGGACGTCGGTCTCGACGACCTGACCCTGTTCTTGAAGTCGTCTTGCGGCGAAGATTGCAGCATTGTCGTCTACGTCACGGCGGAGGATAATCTCGCCGATGGCCTGCTCAACTCCACGGCAATGTTGCTATCCTTCAAGCCCTACGTAGCCAACTTCCACTTTGTGACCCTTCGTCTATTGTCAGGAAATGCGTCGAATGTAACGATGCAATTGTCGATGAGCTACCAAACAGATATCGGAGTCGGTCAGGTGACGCCGGTGGTGCTGTCACGAAAATCCTTCCCTGAGTTTTTCCTCTTCGACTACGAACACCTGCTTGGCAACGACACGAAGCCCCAACCCTTTAACGTAACTGCCGAGTCTCTCTCCGTCCTTAGTTTCGAGATCGGTCGGGTGTACGATGTCGGCGGCACGGTCACTCTCGGCTTCAAGCTGATCGACGTGGAGGAGAAGTACAAAAAGAACATTGTCCTCGTGGCCTGTGTTTCCTTAGGTCGGTTCTTATGTCTTAAAGTTACCTCTAATAGAGTAATTTCTTTTAGGATTAAAATAGAAAATTCGATATTTCCTTCAACGAGTATAGTTTGAAGATAAACTTAGATTATCGATCGCGCTTATGTAATATATCTCATTTTACAACAAATCTTTGTTTTTAATATATAATAATAATAATAGAAAAAAGTAGAGCATGCATAGTTTATATAAAATTAAAATTGATTAAGATTAATTTCTAGAGTCTCTTCACTACACACATCATTTCATCCTCCCCATTCCTTTGACATTCTTTAGGGTACTACACGAACATCACTTCTGGCGGTGGTTGCGTCCGCGCGCGGAGTCTCACGACGGCGGACATGTACGTGAATGCGACTGAACCAGCTTACGTGCACGTGCCCTTCCCCGAGGCAGGCACCTGGTACGTTAGTCTTCGCGTCTTCTGCCCCGAGGAAGAAAAGGAAGGAGCGGAGGAAAAGACGTTCAACGATGCCAATATCAACATCAGCACCAGCTCCTGTTCCTGCAGCCGCACCTGTTTGCAAGGCGACCTCGTGTGCGAAACGTGCGACTGTCTGCCACGCTGCCCCACCGTCCGGGTGGAGAGCATCATATCGTCATCGCCGTGCATCGAGGGTCGTTGCGGACATCGTGGCAAGTGCATGCACTACATGAGCGGCGGCTTCGTCTTCTCGGCGTGTTACTGCACAGGCGGCTATCGCGGCTTCGACTGTGCGGACAACACGTATGTTCTCAGCACCAGTGGAATACTTCTGCAACTGCTCGCCCTCACCTTCAGTAACTTTGCTTTCCTTGGCTCGATCTACGTTGCTGTAAAACGCGAATACTTCACCGAAGCGGTCGCCTACGTCGCGGTCATGTTCTTCTCCACGTTCTATCACGCATGCGAGGCCGGCGAGGAGGTCTACAGTGTGTGCATCATGCGATTAAGCGTGCTACAATTCTGCGACTTCTTCAATGCGTTGCTCGCTATCTGGGTGACCTTAGTGGCGATGGCGTCATTCGGCCCACGATTGACCGCTTTCTGTCAGGTAGCTGGTGCGATTGTACTCGCGATGGGCGCCGAGATGGACCGTACAGCACTCTGGGTGTTCCTACTGCCAGCCGTCACTGGTTCCGCCTTAATCGGACTGTCCTGGGGGCTTAGATGCAAGAGAAAGCGCACCATCAGATATCCCTCGCGTCCGTATAGGTAAGAAAGAAAAGCTTTGAAGAAAAATTTCATTTTTATCGAAGAACTTAGAAATGTTGTATAATAAAATAGCTGCTTGATAAAAAAAAAATAAAAATTCTATAACAGAGATAATTAAATAGATTTAAATAGAACATTGTAATCCAGTTAGCAAAATGCTAATAGTTTGTTGGCAAATTGGTAGTAAATTCAATTAGATTCCCATTGCAGATTTATAGCAATCTCTCAGTCGACACTAACTAAAAGTAACATAACTAATCTATAGATTTTTTGTTTTATTAATGTCGACTGTTCTGTCTGCATTAAGCTTAGGATCCGTCGACAAAGTCTACTGATATACTATATCAGCAGATTTATAGTAGAAACCGCATGTGTGTGTGTAAGGATTTACGCGCGCGGACACTCTGACAATAGACTGGCAGCAGGCTTTGTCCTATTTCTAGCATTTGTTGATATTGTTAAATATTACAGACTGTGTGAAATTTGTTGCCTTTCTATCATCAGAAATTGATAGCACTGTGTGCTATTCAAAATCTGTCTCTGCAGACTATTTGGGAATGTACATATAAATACATAATAAGACAACGTCGAAATAATGGAGTAAAGTCAGGAGTATTATTTTTTCATGACGCGACCGGAGTTGTATTTTTCCTTGCATTTTATATTTTTCCTGCTTTATTGTAACACAAGATATTTCTGTTTCTAGAACCATCTACTTCCCGGCCGGAGTTCTTCTCGTTACTCTAGGTCTTGTTTGTTACGCGTTTCTGCAAACGCGCAGGAACTATTATCTCATTCATAGTCTGTGGCATATCTGCGTGGCCATAGGGGTTATTCTACTTCTGCCGAAGCGCAAGTATATGAAGTAAAGTGGTCAAAGTGCCGCGTACGTATCCAGGAGAGATTTAAGGAGATCGAAGATAGTATCGACAGTTAAGAGATGTGATAGTAGGTAACCAAAGACATCAGGGAAATTATTACAATACAAACACAGATAGATATAGTCGACGAATCGACTTTTGTACGACAGGAATCACAAGCACCAGTTTTAATTATACATCTTGCATGCAAAGATATGTTGAAAGTTATTATATATTGAAGATAGTCTATCTAAAAAAGAAGTATCTATTTATAATTTTATATCGATTTAATTATACATATTCAATATGCATTTTATTGTTAGAATTATCTTAATAGATTAAAACTTATTGTTAGATCAAAATAATATCCTTCTTTTTCTTATAAAGTTTATTTCTCACCTTTATCGTATATACTCGTGATTCGCTTCGTAACAAAGTTATTCGATCGATCGAATACGACGCTCTTACGCATATATTATATATATATATGTATATAAGAGATATTATTCTTCTAAAAAAAGTATCGGTAGTATATAGATATATCGAGAGTATTCCGAAGACGGAATTAACTCGATGAGATTTATCAATAATACACATTTAGCAATAAAAATGCGACAACATAAATTCAACGACAGTATTAAGTCAAGTTAAGTCGTCCGTGAAAGAAATTCTTGCTCATTTTAATAAGTAATAAGGAAATTCCAAAGAAAGTAACATCGACATTAAGATATTTTCGTTCTTCACTAAACTCTCGATAAAATTAAATCCCTATTGAATGTAAATATTGAAGTTTCAGAGTGCGCGAAAATATCGATAGAGAATATAAATTATTGCTGAAATTAACGTTGAATTTTATAAAATTGTTCCAGGAAGAATTTTCGAAATGCACTTCGACATTCCGAAAAATCTATATTGATCGCACGAATACAGAAATGTATCGCTATACTTTATTGATTCAGTCGCGACCTGTTTGCAAGGACCAATTCTATGTAAAATGTTGGAAACGTGATGAAGGAACGAAGGATATCTTCGTGCGAATGGTGCTTTTTTATTCACACGAACGTTCTTTGCTATCTTTAGTCTTTTAATAATAACACATTGTTGTAGCACTGTTGTTGTCATACTATTAATTTTTAAGTATTAGGTATCGATCGATTTCCTGACGTCATTTTGACGATAGACGCGTTTTATAAGAGCATACCATATTCAATAATTAAGTATACATTCCGCATTGTTTGCCTTCCCTTGTGTAGAAGGTATTCAATATTTATCTTTCTTCGTATTAAATATGAAAATAATTTAACCTTCATTCACTAGTGAAGACAATCCGAGCGTAGAAATGTATCTTTTAAGAACGAGTCCTTTTTTCCTAAGAATCAATACCTCGCACACGAACGTCCTGCTCCGAGAATAATACGCGAAAGTGAATGAAAAAGTAAAGATACACGTCTCTTATATTTTATAACTAACAACTAACGTGTCTGTAATTACATATAGAAATTATATTCTTCTACTTAAAGCACGTCTTCTGTAGGACGTGTTAAAAAAGGACAAATTTAAAACCTGCTACCTTAACTTTTGCATTAATTTATGAATTTTTCCAAACCTTCTAGATAAATAATTCAAATTCTCTTTTTTGATTGTGCGATTTAACTTTCTAGGCGATAACGTCTAGGTAGATAATGCTTGAAACGGAGTCATTTTTTCAAGTTGCCTTGCACCGTGACAAACCGGAAGAGTGAAATAAGTAGGGAAACCATCGTGTCTTTACTTTCCGATTCATCCTCGCGCCTGTGTATGCGTGCTGTGTTGTCCGGGGAGAATGTTGTATAAACATATAAGTAAATACGACATCGTCATGGGCAGTGCCTGTACTGATTGTTGACACGTGTTAAGCGCGATGCGCCTGCGACCGTATCGCGACTCTAGTCGATTCTATTTTCCTCAATGTGAAAGCCGTATTAGACTATATAACATTTTCTATGTGTAACCGAAGAGAGAAAGAAGAGCGTGTCACGCTGAGCGCACGTGAGAGCACGGGGGTTGCGCCGAGGTTTCACTTTTGTTAATTTGCAAACATACATACAGACACCCGACACACACTAATGTATATCTCGACGAAATAAAGATGAAGCTATCGTTGTACAAATCGAATTAAAGTACTGCAAAAGCTACCGAGACTTTCACCGCTCATGATAAATAATTCTACATATCTATTGCCTGTTAAATTGTTAAATTCTTATCTTGCCTCTTTCTTACGCAAGATACAGCGAGCTTATTTTTTATGCGCTTCTCTTCTTTTTCCATGATTTAATCTGCTATTTAAATTGTAATCGTCTTTCTCTGAAGGGTAAAAATTACATAAGCAATATTACAACGAGGAATCAGTGGACGTCGCGACGCGCGCGTTCACCGTCGCGATGACGTTAGCCAACAGCGACAGCATGGTCTCCATCGAGAAGCCGCAGTGTGGATACGATCTTGAGCAGTTTCTGCCCTTCGTACCGGCTTCCACCGCTTCCTCGATCGCCGTGCCCTGCATAGCTGTGCGGAACACCTGATTGCTGGTAATTGTGTTTACTATCTTCTCGAAGGACGTCACCTTCTGGTCTTTCTCGTTCTCGTTGTTCTCGCCCTCGTCGCCCACTGCGACGGCCGCCTGTTGCGAGTAGGTGCATACCGCGCGTTGCATGCACGAGGTCGTGTCGATGCCATGGCGAGCCAGGACATCATCGATCCTCGTCAGAGTCTGCGTGAAGCCATTGTCTTCACCTGTGTTGGATTGATATACATTTTATGGATACTATAAGGAACGGAATGTTTACTGAAAATTTCTTGTGAAATTTGAAATTAATTCTGTTTCAACGAAAATTGAAGAAAGAAGGAGGGATGATATTGTTTTGAATTTTTCCATATTTTATTTGATCAAGTTTCGAATCAGAAATCCATCAAGTTGAATGGATGTTGGAAAATCACGTCAACTAATATTCTGAGATTCTTTAATGGCTTACAGCGTGGAAATGATTAATGTTTGATAATGAAAAAATGTCAAGCTTCATGAGGTTTGAGGAAGAGATCTATGAAATTTGAATTTTGTAAATCCAAGAACAAATAAAATGAACAACGCGGGATTTAGTCAATATATATAGATTTTATTATGATATAAGAATACGTTTCTATATCATGGATTTTATAAATGGATATAATACTTACTTCTGGCATAAGCACCGTAAGTTCCCGACAGGATATAGAGCAGCTTTGGGATGATGAGAATCGATCCCACGCCTATGATAGCTCCCAAGAGAAGTCCTCCAAGATCTATTTTCGCCGGCGCATAAGGTGATACGCCGTAACCCTGATTCGGATTTAATTGATTACGTAAATTTAATTACGCCACTTTGAGTTTCCAATTAATTGACTTCAATTATTATATAGAAAATAATAAGATAAAGTAATATCGAATGCAACAATACTTTAAAGAAAATTTTCTAAAATTTTATAGGAGATGGATAGAAATAGGAGATGGGAAAGGAATAAGAGGGAAAAGAAATTGTAGAAATAAGAGATAAAGAAGAAGTGTGGCACTATGTCCCAAAAGAATAGATACCTGTAATAAAATATGAAAAAGATGGGAAAAGAAACTCGATCCAATACTTACGCTCCCTGTACTTCCAACATTGGTGAAACCAAATCGTGCCTCCTGGCTACGATCTGCAATGTCGTTCGTCTCGGATTCGCGTTTCGACGTTTCGTCGTGCTGTTGAATCTGAGACGGCATGGCTATTTGATCCTGTGTTTTTGCCTGCTTTTCCATGTAGCTGATAGAACTCGGCACAAAACTATCGATAGATCGTACAAAGACAGATACATAACACAGATATTTTAACGGTAAAAAATTAATTTTCTCTTTAGATATATCTAAATACTTTTTAATTTTTAAGGTTCTTTTTCAATGCCTTTTAAGCGTCTTTTGCACTTCTGTGACATTTTGGAAGAAATGTTGAACACATTGTAAAAAGATATTGAATACAAATTCCTTATAAATATTATTAAAAATTTTAAATGAGACTTACCCTCCATCATCGAACTTCGGACTGCAATTGACCAGAATGGCGAAGCAGCTAATTATTGTCACGGTTAAACTTCGCGAGATACAAAATGTCATCTGAGAAAAAACTTAAAATAAATACTGAGAAAAATATCTGGTTTTAAAAGTAGACACAGTAGAAGATTATATTAATCAGAATTCCGATTACCTCAATTCTGGAATTCTAGCGGATTTATTCAGGAAATTCCGATTCGTCTATTTTAAGAATTTTAATCCAACCGGACATTTTTCTCGGTGAACCAATGATTAATACGCATATTATATTAATATATTAATATATTATAATAAATTAAATGTCGGCAGAGAGAGTATTTATATGTTTTAATGAATATTGTACGAATATGGTACTCTACAATATTCCACAACAATGAACATATCTTTTTGTAAAGCTAAAAATATTGTTTAACTACTGTCAAAAATTAGATGTTTGAGTCGGCACTTTTATTATTTACAGTTAGATGAATAACCAAAATTCTAAAATGTGTCATAGATCTTTTCGAATACTTTGCGAACATTGCGTTATGATGAATCAAGGTAACAATTTCCGAAGACTTTCTCGTGACATATATCGAGCGAATATGAATGTAAATATTTAAAATGGATCGAGTAAATACCTTCGATAGCGATAAAGGAAAAGCGAATTCTTTAAGATACAACGTGGCAACTGAGATATATCCTAGGATGAGATATGGCGATTCAGTGTCACGGACTGACTGTGTGATGTCTGCTTTCAGTCATATATAGTCGCTCTGCTCGTCTGAACACAAGTCGTGGATGATAATTGAAGCCCTGGTTTCGCTTTCATTGTTAAGTCTTCGTGATGCATGACGTCTCCTTGTCGTCGCCTTCGTCGTCGCGGGCAAAGAGAAGGCCGTTTCTTCTTCTTCTTCTGCAACAACTGCAACCACGTTGTCATCACAGATTATTTCGTTCGAAATTCCGAGGCTGAAATAATGGCCGGCCGTCAACAATGTCCTCTTAAGATATTCACTGACTTTTGACATGCGAAATTTCGCGATTTTGGTCTCCGTCTTCTCGTGGCTGAAGTGATCTTGTCCATGTTACGACTTCCTGTAGCGCGTTACGAAATGTATGGAACTTTGGGGTAGTTATTTACTTGTATCTCTACCTAATTGTTTACGTAGCTAATTTTGATTAGAAGTTTTCAAAGAACGATATGATGCAATTTGATTTGGAAAGATGAAGTTAAATTTGTTAATAATCGTTAATGTACGTGATTAAACAGAATGATATTAACATAATTTGCGCTCCGAATGATTCCAATTTTGCAAAAAAAAAAAAATAAAATAAATCGATAGAAAGCATATAATAGACAAGAAAGTATATAATAGACAAAAAAATTTTAAATTTGTAGAAGAGTTTGCAAAAAAAGAAACAAGTTTTAATTTATAGTAAAAAAATGCGGAGAAAAATTGGTTGAATAATTTTTACCTTACTAGATTAAAAATATTCTGACTATCTTTATCGGACTTATGACAAACTTTACTTGTTCTGAAAGTAAAAATATCAGAAGTATAAGGTAAAAAATACAATTATGGTAAATCCGTTCAACTTATCATTACCTTACAATAAAGTAAATCATACTATTCCCCAAAAATTGTACGCATAAATAACTTTCAAAATTTATTTTACAAAATGTAAAAAGTACCTTATAATATAGCCTTATTATATGACGAGCGTTCATTTACCAGAGAAGTAAAATAAATTTTACATAAGTCACACACACACACACACACACACACACACACACAGTGTTTGTTCCTATATATTGATTTGCCAATTTCATAAATCTTACTAGAATTCTAGCTCATATCACTTTCCTACATTTTTTCGTATGGGGAGAAAAATATTAAACAGATTTATAAAAGTCGACGATTAGTCGATAAAGTCAAAGAAATACAAATCAAAAAGTCACCAAACGAAAGATCGAAAGTAGGATTAAGGATTTAAATGCAAGAAACCGCGAAAGCGTATGTAAGTAGCAGAGTTTACGCTATGAGATCATATATCGGAATCCTTCCGGAAATTTCTCGGAAAGAAATTCCATCTATACGTTGCATGTTCGCTACAAATCGCACGGGGACAAGCCAGAGCGCGAATCAAAGTCACCTTTCGCGAAGCTCGCGTGTCGCGTTCTCCCCCGTTTCGAGTTTGATGGGAGAAGTCGGTTCTAAACAGTGCCCCGGGAAATTCACTGAAAGTTACAGCTGGCCGAGTCTATAATTCTAATTGACTCGTCGTCACATTCGCTCTTTTCTGTTGCACCAGATGAAAAATTATGTTTATAATAAGTCACGAGAAGCTGCTCATAATTATTGGGTTCCTTTATCTCTCCCCGGTGCGCGACAAAATGTAAAAGCGACTCGCCAAATGCAACAGTAATTAATAATACATTATTCTGGATTTCGCCGTTTGGGTTCGTTAATTCCGTCGCGAGAAATCGGTATTTCCTGTTTTGATAGGGGCAGACGAGCCTGTTACGAACGGGACAAATTAGTGGGGATCTGCTGCACTGGAACGTTGAAAAGCACTTGGGTAGCACAAATGCATTTCATTACTTCGCGGGCGGCAGAAAGTCGAGGATATCGAGAATCCGATAAAGCAAGTGTTAACGTTTTATCTTCAACTGTCCCTAACTTCAATTATTCCTAAAGAGACTTTGAACATGAGGGCCACACCGACGGATTCGGCCGCTCTGATTCTTCTACCCTTCGCGCTGTTCTTCGTGCGAGTAATTAGCGACGGCAATTCACGGACGTTCATGAATCTTAATGGCCAAAAGCCGCAGTTCATCTCGTTTGACACTAAAGGTGGAGAAGTCGAAGTGAGTATATCGAAGTTGATTGAGTGGAAATTTTTGAAACACGTGAATTAATCTTATTATATAATTGAACGGATTTTCTTCAACTTAGAGTCATTTCTGAAAAATTCAACTTTAAAGAAATCTTTCCGTTTGAATTTTCCAGATCACTTGGGATGTATCGGTACCCTTCTTCACGATACCGGTGAATCACGTGAGCGAAAATGGCGAAGTGTTACCACTGCTTAACGTTAACCCGAAAGGATTGTCAATCGCTGGCGTGCTAACGGCCATTCTCACTTTGGCGGTGCCCCTCTTATCGAAGCCGGGCCCGGGAATGCAATATCGAAGTACGAGTTTCATTACTATTCACTGCTCTGTGTTAAGATAATAAATTTATTGTAAATATTCTTGAATTACCTGGAGTGTGAATTTCTGTGTCAGGTCTCGACTCGCAATGGTCGCAAATGGGAGATACGATAAACGAAATTGTGTTTAGCAATCGATACATCACACCCTGCGTTCAGCGCATTGTTTGCACCATCGTTTCCGAGGCGAGTCATTCCGACAATCCTTCGAGTACCGATAAGATTATCGATGGATTATCAAGGTACGACTAATTTTTAATATCATTTTTTATAATAATAAGTAATTAACAACTATTAATAAATAAAATGTTTTTGAGATTTTTAACCGCTATTTTAATTTAGAATTAACTAAATAATAATATTATTTTGGATGGAAAAATTTATTTGCTTATTTAATGAGTATTCAGTACAATTATTAATAATTTAATCAAGTTAATAGGATATATATGTAATAAACTCTGCTAAATTTGGAGAGAAAGATGTTAAAGAAACAAACTCGACAAGTAATATGTTAAGAGTAAGATAACTAATTAATATCATTCACATTAATGTAGTAATGACAAAATACATTACAATTAAATAACGATTAAAGTAAGAGTAAAAATTTATTTTTTTTTCTTAATAATGAGAATTACGTTGAGAATTACACTCGTATATTATGCTTCGTCTAATTACAAAGACATTAAAATTTATAACAAAGCACAAATTAACTATTCAATCAAGAAAAATTAAATATAAAGATTATTGAATCAAATAAATGAATATATGCGGAAAAATTCTTTAATTGTTACATAAGGAATTAAATTCTAATTATATGAATTTATCTTAATTATCTCAAATAGTCACAAGTGGTTTAAGGAATTCACAAATGGCACAGTCCTTCAGGAAGCTATAAGAGTAGGCCGAGAAGGACACCACGACTGCAGTCGCATCTACAAGGAATGCTTTGTGACACCGAACATTCTTAAAAGTATGATGGCGCAAATCGGCGTAATTTGATGCCGTGATGTTCGCAATTGTAAATTGTAAATAAGGTATTATCGATCGCGAGATGGGCAGTGTTTGAGTAGTCTTTTATTATCACACATCTTCTTGTTGCCGAAGCGAACGACGCGTCGTGAATAATTTTGTGAAAATTTTGCAAAATCCTCTAACCTGGCAAATCTGTCTCACGTTTAATTTTTAAATCATTCACAGTGTAACGAATGAGTTACATCAGGACGGCTGATCTTCATTATTCTGATGCACGAGGTGTGAAATTTCGTCGCGCTTAAGAGAAACCTCGTCGCATATTTAGATGATGGCACTTTCACTTTTGCTTTTACGCAAATTGTTAGAAACCACTGCTATTTTGACAAACATATAGTTCGATGTCATACTTAATTCATCCTCATTTATCAGTTTTATTTAATTTATTTAAAAGTTTCATTTAAAATAAACGATTTCTTCGTGAACCATGCAGATAAATTAAGGGGATTTGCTTACATTAAATTTTTCTGCGTGATTTTCTCCAAAATATAAAAATTCGAACTTTTCAAAAAATTGAAGAAATATATGAGAAGAAAATTAGTCAGCACAGCAGATAAATAATAGTAGTAGATTATTTTTTACGTACATAAGAAAAAAAACTATTTTAAAAATATATAATAAATATATTTAATACAAAAAAGCGTATAAATGCTGTAATATTCTAATTAAATTATAATGCAAGTAATGAATATTAATTCAAACGATCACATGCTGTTATTAATTAAAGTTATTATAGGGTTATTATTTTATTATTGATATTATATTTTAAATAATGAAATCGTACAAATATTATTAAAGTAAGACACAAAATTATAATACAGAATCTAAGATTCCAGGACTCTAAGATTCTAAGGATTCCTAGAAAATTTAGTTCCCGAGAATCGTTGACTTTTTATTCATAATCGTCTAAAAATGCTACATATATATATATTTATAAACTTTATTGTAAAATACATTTTATTTTATAAATATATTTATTCTATAAATTATAAATTTACCAATTTCGATAGTATATAGCATAAATGTTATTGCGCAGATCACACATTACGCGTCTGTCCCTTTCCAAAATCCTGTCACGTACTTTTCAGTCTTTAAAACTCGACTGCATCTCATTCAAGAAGCTAGTTAAATAATTTTTTTCGCTTACAATATGATAAGCAATAAACTATAAGCAATAAAGTATAAGTAATAAACTATATACATATTTTAAATCGAAAGAATCAGATAGAACAATTCACAGTCAATCGAAATGTTTTACTCTGGATATCCCTTTGAGATAATTATTTTCAGATTTAGATAACTAAAACCCGATTGTACCAATATTACTTCAACTTTAAAGGAGATTTAAAACTCTCTTCTCTCTCTCTCTCTCTCTCTCTCTCTCTCAAGCGAAAGAGACAGAAAGAGAAAGAAAAAAGTTTAAGTCTTGTTTAAAGTTAGAGCAACGTATACTCGGATCTAAAATAATGGACAAGCAATACAAGATTTTGTATTCACGCTGTAATTTTGTCGTCATCGTGGACGGCATTCTGCTTGAAAGACGCTAACAAACGCGTGGCTCTCGCAGCTCGCGTAGCTTCTGCGAGATCCATCGCGGTTTGTCCCAGTATATCGAGGCAATACGGATCTGCACCGTGATCTAACAGGAACTCAATCGCTTCCGTACGATCATGAAGAGCAGCGAAATGCAGTGGCGTGCGTCCAGAAAAATTCTTTTGGGACAGATCAGCTCCAGCCAGCAGGTACGACTGCAGACGCTTCGTGTTTCCTGTGGTCGCGGCCATGCACATCTTCTCGCTGATCAGCACAGCATCGCCGTGAAGATGTGCTCCACATTGCAATAATATCCTGATAATCTAGAAAATCATAAAACGCACTTTTAACAATGATATTTTGATCACGGAATCTTAATCCGCTAATTAAAACAAGATACCTTTCGACAAAGATGAAGTAACAAGAGAAGAACTAAGTATATAACGCACACACGAATTTCACTTAACTTTAAATATGTTTTAATATACTTACTATTCATGGACAAGTGGCACGATATAATATTTAAGTATTCTCGAGAAATTTGTATCTAAAATTTTGGAATTTTTAATTGAATCGTGAATTAATATTATTTGTATAGTTGCAGACTTTTTTAAATAATATTATGATCATAAGATAATAATTTTTCTATTATATACATTGTCTAATTATTTATTTAAATACTTAATTATTTAAATTTACTTATAATTTTGTAAAAAAGTTTATTTAAAAAGTAAAAAACAGTAAGAAACTTTCAATGCAAACTTCTCGCAAATATTTGAATATTGCGTTGTGCTACTTGCTCGTGAATTAGTAGAAGATAGTGGAAATACTAAACATATATAAAGTTGGGCGAAATTCGTGTGTACACTACTTCTTGTAAGACCATCAAGATCCTTTTTATTTTGTGATTTCAATTAAGTATTTCAAATTTTTTTATAATATATATAAAGATATATGATAGGGTTAGAGTTCAGATTTAATTTCTGGAAAATAGTCTCACCTCATAATGATCGTATTCGATCGCGTCAGTGAGAGGCGTGCGATCAAAACGATCCTTAATGTGAACATTTGCACCCATTTTTAAAAGACGTCGCACGACTTTCAAGTCTCCTTCGCAGCAGGCTATGTGCAAAGCCGTTCGACCATCTGCATTTGCTTGCGAGATATCCGCGCCCTAAATAGAAAAAGCCAATTAGAGTAATAAATTAATTAGTAAATAATTCAGAAACTCATCCGTAATACGCTGTAAATGTATATTATTTTTGTATTATATTGCCGTATGTCAATATGTAATCAGTGTAATTAGCTTACTATCGACTTATATCAAAGACTAACATTTTTATTAATATAAATCTATTTTAATCTTCAGGTTTGAGATTCTCTTTGCCAACGATAGAAAACTAATCCTTCAGTTAATGTCACACTATACTATTTTCTCACGAATGCAGCTCAGTAAACAAGAATGAATTAAAATGGCTTAATATGAATTTAGATTTTTATTTTACATTTGCATTCGTGAAACATTAAAATAAATTCTTTTCAATCCAAATGCATTTTTATTATTATAGAAATGCATGAAACGCATTTCTATGCCTTTCAATCTAAAACTAATATTAGCTTTTTCTATGCGTTGTGAATATCTTTTAATTCAAAATTCTGAAAAAAAAATGCAGTTTTTTGATCCAACTAAATCTAACTGAATCCAATTGAATCTAAATAAAAAAAAGTTTTTTACCATTCAACTGAATTAAAATACGCATGGATTAAAAATTTCAATTCATTTTTATCTATTCTCGATTACTGAAAACACATTGTAGTGAAAAAGAGAGAATGACTCTTAAAGATGTTAAATTTTTTATAATATTCTTCAAAGGCTATCAATTTTGTTGCTTATTAAAAGAGATAATAATTATTAGTAACGTAAAATTTTAAATATTGAAGATTACTGACGTATCCTTTTAAAGACTCGAGTTTCACAATATCGCGTCTCACTACTGCGGCGTTCAGCATAGCTGGAAACAGGATTGACCCCAATTCCTGAAGTTCTACTGTTGAGGATAATCTCAAGGAGCTAGCGACAGCTTCCACCAGATCCCAATCCTGTATTGTGGGCGGTCGACCGGCGGTCAGTTCACCCCGTAAGTTCGTTTGCATCATTTGTCGCTTGGTTTCCGTATCCCAATCCTTCTTCGATAAGACATACGCGAGTTTCGTCAACGCGGCCTCCGGTGTCATGTCAAAGCCCGATATCACACCTGTAAATTGATAACGAATTATTGCGAGTCTTAAAATAAAATTTATCTTAAGTAGAATACGTAACGCTATCGCAACTTAAAATAAAATTTATTTGAAGTAGAATACGTAACACTATTATAACTTTAAACACAAGAAAATATTTATGTTTATAACTCTGTGTCGTGCTTTAATACGCAAGTTTTCCGTAACATTTTCTACAATCTTAATCTGTAATTTTACTGAAAAGAGAAAGATAAAATTTAATGAAGAGATAAAGAATTAAAATTGTTAATAATCTTGAGGAAGTTTCAGCTTCAGTATTATTTAAAGCTGCATTCGATCTCTATATGTTTAAATGATTAATCCTCTTTTGAATCAGTGTTTTTATTTGTACGGTACCAGCTTTTTGGAGTAATTTTCCAGCCTCGTACGTATCCGAGACACATCCGGTCGAACATTGTGTGATATTCACAACAATCACACCGCGCTTTGTCGCCGCGCTAAGCTCTTCGATGATATCATCGCGATTTGTAGGGATGTTTCCCAAGCCGTAGGACTGCAGCACGACTCCTTCGATGGGTGGTTGAAGAAACACCTTGACCAGATCGGAAGTGATACTGGGAAATAACCGGAGCAGGCCTACGTTTCGATTGAGTGACGCGTGTACGTAGAACTTCTCCATAGTACAGGGACGGAAAATCAAACGATAGTTCACTGCGAAGGAATTTTAGTCTTGAATTCTTTAGCTGTGTCTCGGAAATTGTATTAATTAAGTTAGATGTTTTCTTAGAAAAAAAAAATGTTAATATTTATAGCACACTGTAAAAAGTGCACTGTAAATTTACATCTTTGCAAAATGTTTAATAATAAAAGATATTGTAATTTTAAACGTTTTAGTATTGTAAATCCAAATACACATAGTGTTTTGTTTATTAAAAAAGTTTAAGTTTAAGACATTTTTAAGTGTTCAAAAAACGGAGACATTTGAATATCTTAAAATTAAACACTTTTTTTTAATATATCTGCAAATAATTGATAATAGATGAATAATAATAGATTATATGTA